TCTCTCTCTCTCTCTCTCTCTCTAAATATATGGTATGCTATTGCAAGTGGGTTTGGCTCCGCGGATGTCGAACTGACGTGAAAATACGTACATGCAGAATGAAGAGAAAGGACGACCTACCCCCTTACCCCCGTCCATTATACAAAACCCATGGTGAACGACGAACAACATAGTGCTATACTTGCCTTCCAAGATAGGATTTGGAAGATAATCTGGTAGACGTCCAACTATCACTTCCAACAGAACTGCGCCAAACGAAAAAATATCAACCTTCTCAGTGTAGTAAGCTTTTTGTGAATAGCGTCCTCTTCCAAGTTTCTCGGGATATGTTTCTGGTGCAGCATATATTATGCACCCGACTCCTGGCGTAGCATACATTGCTCCGTTGGGGAACACCTTAGAAAGTCCCATATCTGCAATCTTTGCTTCCTTTGACTCTAGATCTTTAATTAAGATATTTTTACTGGAAAGATCGCGATGAATGACTGGATCTTTCAGCCCGTGAAGATAATCAAGGCCTTCCGCAACATTCAGCATAATGGACACAGCATCTGAGAAAAGAACCTTGCAATTTGACTCTTTACGAATGAAATGAAATAGGTCTGTTGTGCAAAGCTCAGTGACAATAATCGGTGAACCTTCTTGAGGCATAATAACGGTTAAATATTCCACTATATTTTTATGTTTTAGACCAGACATTATCTCCCATTCCTTCTTTAAGTCGTTGAATATTCTCCCTTTGTTTTGAAGGCAGAAGAAGTCGTTCTCGAAGAAAAAGCTTCGTAATTTCTTAGCGGCAACTTGTCTTCCTTTCCAAACTCCTCGATATACCTCGCCATATGAGCCTTCTCCAATCTTCTCACAGAGCTTTACATTGTCATTGGAGGCAATATTCCCCATTGGAGAAGATGTTTAAGGAAGCTAATGCTGTCTATTCTGTTTTTGCTCTGTGAAACTTAGCCAGACTTGTGACTTCGAAGTGTGTCAAACGGAAGTTAGGATCAGATCAAATATGCTGCTGACTTGCTACATTGCGTACAAAGCAGGGGAGTAACAGTACTACGCTTTCAAAACATATTCCTATTGTCTAGAAACGTCAAACCATTGGCTAAAATTTAAGTTTACGACAAATCTAATATTTTTCAATTACATTCAGAGTTCTCATTTTTCATATTTAAGTCTTGTTGTAGAATAATCCAAGGGAAAGTTATTCGCACTACTCTACCCCGCAGAGTAAGTAATTGTCGTTGACTTCTCGGAATTTCTTGAGCTGCGAAGGGCCTGCTCGCGAACAAACTGAGCTCTTGTTCCTGCAGAGATGGTGAGCGAAAACATTTTCTTCAAATTTAATGTAGAGGAATATTACCTTTGTAAAATCAGGTTGTTTTTCAAGTATTATTTTCGCCATACCAGAAGTACATAACATACCCGGAAGTAAAACCTAAACCACAGGAAAACCGCGATGGCATATTTTCATTTTCACAAAGGAACCCCACAATTCTATTTTCAAATATTTTTGCCAATGAAATTTCTTGAAATTAAGTTCTGAAAATTTCACCCCATTTTATTTTACCTCTAGAATTCAGGATAGTTATTCTATTAAATGCCAAGAACATTATCCGTTTTTAGAAACCTATTTTCTCTTTACACCTATAAAATTATTTTATTATTCATCTTTTATCTGTTAAATTACAATTTTCTTTAAAATCTTTAGATTGAATGGAAACTGATCAAAAGACTCTTTTTCAACTTTTTGGGGAAAAACTTCAATATAGGAAAATGAAATGATATAAGTTTTACGACTTTTTCAAAGGCCAAACTTTACTAACAAAGAATAAAATTTAAAAAATAAWTTTTTTTGACGAAAAAAGTAGCTGCCAAGCAATAAAATCAGAGTTTTTGAGCTGAAATGGCTATCGAAAAAAAATTGCCTGGGTCGGGTCCCTGGGGAAGGATTGAAATAAATAAAAGCAAGACAATGAATTTTACGACATTTTCAATGGCATTAATTTAGTAGCAAGAGAAATAATGAAAACTTTAGATTTTTTGTTAAAGCAGGTAACCTTATAATAAGGCTTTTGAAAATATATGAAAAATGAACATGGGACGGGTCCCTGGGGCATGATTATACCGCTTARCAGCCAGGTGACATTGAAGGACGCCAGCTTGGCAGATCAAAATTTCCAACATGTCGTTTGAGGTTTTTGCTTTCATTCTTGCAATTCTCATCGCCATTGGCCTGATATTTTTAGTAATATGGAATGTAAGTACAAAGCTTCACTACCTAGGACTACAATTATCCTGTATTTATATTTTTTTGTCGTTTTTTTTATAGATTATCGCGTTTGACGACCTCAAAACCGACTACAAAAACCCAGTAGATTTGTGTAACAGTTTAAACCCGGTAAGTTGAGTTTAACTGTCAAAATACTCAAGTTAAAGCTCTCTTTACAGCTCATTAAGATCTTAGACTTCCGTTTGATGCTCAAGCTGCTATCGAAAGCATTTCATTTGCTTGACTTTGAGCTCTTTTTGTTGTAAGTTATTCATTTAACTCCAGCTCACATCTCATTATTGTACTATTTGTATTCCTACAGTGCAGCAAGCTTTATCTTCACAAAAAATCATAATTTTTCTAAAATGCTGTCCTCTACGAAGCTTTCTTCCTTTAAATATGAATTGTACCTCATTTCTACAGCTTTTTGTCTCTTTTTATGCCAAAGTTTGTTGACTAGCGACAGTTTTTTACTTACAACATGCAGGTGTCAAAATTGAAACAGGTGGCAAGGCTTGTTCAAACTCTAAACATTCAGCGATCTTAATACATTATCTGCAAGCGAAATAATATGGATTGAGTTTCTAAAACTTTTATATGAGCAAAACTACTAAGATTTAAGCTCTCGGGGTAGTGAGAACTTGATTCAGCCAAGGAACAATGCTAATTTTATATTCCAACATTTCATTTTTGAGGACCAAATTCAAGGATTAAATTGGGGCTGTATCAAGGGGATGGGCATTGGGGCTCTCGTTCCCCTCCGCTAATAATTTTTCAACTGCTTTGGCTAATTTTTAAAATGTCATATATATATATAGCACGGTGGAACAGAATTTTGTGAAAAAAGATACATTATTATATTATGAAGCTGATGTTATTACATTAYGAGCCTTGCTGTGTCATGATTCATAAAATATACAGAATACTACTAGATTTAAATAAAGCCATTTAAGTGCAACCTACAGCCACCGAATCACCTAATTTTTGTGCTGCAAATAAACATTTCCCTGTCCTTCAAATCTATGGGTGTGGCTTGAGAGCCCGAAGCCCACCAAATATTTTTAACCTTGCTACAGGCCTGGAAACCCATATTCCACTTGAACTTTTAGGCTTTGCAGAGGGTGGGAATACAAAATACAGGAAAACACCCTTAAATTAAGGGAGAGAATACCCAAAGTCTTAGACTACCCACATGTGATGATTATGTGACCCTAGAGGTCAAAGTCACATGCCGTGCCGTCCCCACACCTGATCAATTCCTTGTTACTGTTGCTGATAGGTCCTGTTATTTTACTTCAGCTTGTTCTACCAGAGTATGGCATTCATATCTTCTTGACTCTAGTGTTTCTATTTGGAGGTCAATGGACGGCTGTTATGTTTAACATTCCACTCCTTGCCTATCATATACAAAGGTATGTAATATCTATTTGCTGTATGTGGACATTTTAGAGTAATGTCCATTATATGTAGACCTACATAATAGACATACATGTAATATACATCACATAACTTCCTGCATATCATATAATAAGGAAAAAGCTGACAGTATTGTATACATTTTGAGAGATGCATTTTGTAAGTGGACGTGCATGACACACAATGTATTCAGCTTAATTTTAAAAGAATGAAAGGGAAAGTGGTGATCAGTAATTGACGATTACATGGCCAGAGACCTGTCTATAATATTACATGTACCATAACCTACATGTATATGGGAGCGCGGAGCACATTTTAGAGTTAGGGGGGATTGTTATTACATGTATATATGGAACTCAAATTTTTAAAAAATAAGATATCCTTTAGGTAAAAAAGTGACAGGGTTAATGCCCTTGACTCCATCGTCTATTGTCTGTAAGCACTGGAGACTAGAGCCTATTACTAAGGTATTATTCAATAATAAGATATAGATTGACATGTTTGATGTGTGCATGACAGATATATAAACCGACCAATTATGAGCACACCTGGGCTTTATGACCCCACAGAAGTGATGAATGCTAGTGAAATGTGGAGATGCCAGAAGGAAGGCTGGATCAAGCTCGCTTTCTACCTCATTAGTTTCTTTTATTACCTCTATAGGTAAGAACAAACCAGAAGCCTTGGGCAAAGCGTGGAGTGAAAAATCACACAGTTTGTCTTTAAAATTTTACTAACAAAACACCCACCTGGTCCCATATCTTTCCTCAAACATCTTTGAAAATTTCCTAAGACAGCATTACCCTTTTTTCCATAACACACACACACACACACACACAAATCACAGACCCATATTTCAAACACAATAAAACCAGCCCACACCCCACCCCTGAAGCTTCGTAAAACAATGTACCCCTCCCTTCCAAAACACACACACAAGTTACAGGTCTACCCTCAATGTTAAAGTTTATTCTGAAACATTATAAGCTACATGTAGCTCAATAGTATGATTTCAGATTATATTAACGAAGGATATGGTCATGCCCCTACCCCACCCCTACACCTCTGACATAAATTCTGGGAATTTCTTTTACTAATTATTGGGAAGTCAGTTTCTTTTTAATTTTAATGTTTCACAGTATTTTTTCTGAATGTTTTTCTTTTGTTTTCTAGGATGATGTATGCATTGCTTGTTTAGTTTGAGTTGAGTGAAACTCGAGAGTTCAGTTCATCTTGCGCAGAGGTCCTTGGCTGAATTATATTCATTGAAAGAAAGGCATTTGTACTTATCACTGAATTTTGAAAAGAAAATATTGTAGTTTGGCAAACGGTACTAGGATTTATAATATCATTACATTATTTTGAGGGCATGAACTTTTGTACTGTTGATGACAAACCAGAAATTCACAGGCTTTTCGAGTAGATTTCATGCTCCATTTGTAGGGGAAATAAAAATGCATTTATAGAGATAGAGAGCAAGGTGCATTCTGGTCTTGCTCGAGTACAAATATAGGTTCTGCTGTACTTGTCCTTTGTCTTATATTGTGTTGTTTGTACCCAAGCTTGACCACATTGCATCTTGTTTGCACTTTTATTTAAGTTAGAGGTATTTGAGGTGTCTTGATGTGCACTTTTTGAGAAACGTTTGAGAGCATACTGTTGTGAAACAGGATGTCATATGTAATGTGTTTCAGAAAACATCCATGCTTGCTGCCTACTTGGGAGAATGGAATATTCAAGGGGTGGGGAGAGTGCATGGAAGGCCAATGATAATGTGAACTGCAATTTTAGTTAAAACCTTTGAAGAGTTTACTGCTATGAAACTCTTTGACTAAATAAAATATGTCCAGAAAATATCCATGCTCGGCCTGCCAAGGGGAGCAAATATGTTTAAGGTTTATAGTAAATTAATGCATAGTGTGCTTAGTGGTAAAACCTGTTATTACTAGATGGCAATGTACATATTGCGTATTATCATGCACACCCCCTCCCAACCRCCACAATTGCATTGATTTTATCATGGAGTATAGGTCTAAGAAGGTACATAGTAAAAAAAATTTTCCAGAAGATAGTTTTGGAGTAATTAATGGATGTACACATTTGTCTTTTTATGTATTTACTGTTATTTAAAGGTCATATTGTTTTGAAGTCTAACACTAAAAAGAGAAGATTTTTTTTTTTTTTGAAACATAGATTAGACATATTTGTTTGACTAGAAGAGCATGTAAAGTGCGCAGGTGTACTTTGCAGCTCTTTTCAATAGCATACACGAAACCATACAATTTGCCGTCAATACTATTAAGGGTTGTGTTGTTGTCGATCAAAGTGTTTTCATGACTTTGTCACAAAACACAAGTTTCCGAGAGCACTTGCCTACAGAATGACTTGATTGACATCCACCAAAGCATTCTTTCTTCCGAGAAAAATCCAACTTGGCTATTGAGAAGCACTGTAATGTAAGAACCTTTTATGGCAAAATTGAATTATAGAATGAAATAAAATGTGTATTTTAGATGAGTGTTTATTTAATGGTTTATTTACTTTTTTTGATAGCATAATTTCTTTTCAAAAGTGAAATAACAAACTCTCATTTAGTGATCATATTTTAGGTGATTTTTTTTTCAACTTCAAAAATAATATCAATGAAAGGGAAAACTCTACATACCGCATGCTAATGTACTGAAGATTTTGTTACATGAAAAAGATTTTTTTTCAGTTTCAGACTGGTAGCATCCATTCAGTTATGGATGAACTTGACTATGTCTCATTCAACTTTAACTCGTATGCTTCTTTCATGCTTACCAACCTATGGACATTAATAACTTGATGGACGTATGCTAAGCATGAACCATTTCTTCCACATATAAAGCATGCCAGTAATTTTTCTTTACTGGTTTTTCAAGTGACATTGATAAACATGACTTGCAAGAATTGATTAAAGAATGTAAGAAAAATCTGAACTACAAAAAAAATTAAGCATAAATGTGTGAATTATGAAGAATTCAACGAAAAAAAGCTAGCTTAGTTTTCAGCCACTCCTCAGTGAATTCCTCCACACTTCGAAGCTCAAAAACCTGAACAAGAATAAAAGCAAAATAATTAACAAGACGTTATCGCAATGTTGTTTCCTAATGGCTCAAATTGTGTTTTGCATTCCTTAAAAAGTACACAACACACCCTTTACCCCTTTCTTTTCTTCACATTTTTTCTTTCATTTACCCTTATTTTTCTCAGTCTTTTTTGTTCTCATCTCTTTTTCCTTTTTTCTGTTAATTTGTCTCCCATTTCTTTTCATTCAATCCCTTTCTCTTTTCTCTTCTTGCCTTTGCCTACTCTTCTCCCTTTCCATCCCTTCCCTTCTTCTTCTTTCTTCCACAATTTATTTAAAAAAGAGTCGTTTTAATTGGTCTCTGAGAAAGATAATAAGCATGACCCAACTTTTGTTTAGTCACTAATTATACAACTTTGTTTTATGACACAATTAAAATCCAATATACATAAGAAAATGCATCACAGATACCTTAGTAAATCCTAGTTCCTTCACAACCTCCTGTTTGGATCCTGCATACATCATCTGCAACTCTGGCTTGGTACCTGTATGGTTATGAAAACAAAACAAGCCTGTCCTGTGAAAAATCTCGAGAAAAGATTGAGTTACACATAAGTTCATGCTTTATAGTCAATCAAACTATGGACTAAAAATCTCCACACACAACAACACTATCCCTCCCCTCCCTCAGTGTTAATCTTTGACAAGTTACAGATAGTCCATCTTACCTGATGGAGATATAAAAACAAAGCATAATGGATATGACACTCTTCCATCATCATGATTAAGAACATAGCTAAATGCTACATAGCTGTTGATAAAATTAAAGCATTGTTAATTATTATTATTATCTAGTAATAATTTTTGTATAATTTCTTTAATTAAAACGTACCGTGGGAGATGCTCTGGAAGTTCTTCTCTAAGATTATCTACACTAATATCCTACATATATACAAAAACATATTATCAATAGTAATAACTTGAAACCGTAATTGCATACTATATATTTCCATGGCTGTCAACCCCCGAGATATTCAAATCTGGAGAATTGATAGGGAAGGGACATGACGTCACAGCGCGTCAAAAAGTGCGCGAAAAGACGTCTTTCACTTTGTAACATTTTATGTGATTGGTTTATTTCTGACCAATCAGATTATTGCTTATATTACAATGGCCTGCTTGCAAGAACAGTTGATGAGGAATGTTTTGATTTTGTTAATGATATGAAATAACTTAAGCAACATAAAATAATTGGAATTTTATGGTTTTGAAAGTAGAGTCATACAAATAGTCATACACATACATTTTTTGGGTGCTTTGCCACTCTAGATAGATTTAAAAGCAGCAATATTTCATGTGAATCACCATACCTCATGTTCTTCATCAAGTATTACAAGGAGATTTTCAGGTTGAACTTTCACTAAAAAAAATAACATTTCAAGTGAAATTGTGAAAATAACCCTCCTTTATCTCATAGAATGAATATTAATATTATGGCGTCCCTCCTTTTTCATAACTAATGAACAGACCCAGCATTGTTCCCAATACACTTCTTTAGTTTGGGCATAATGTTTCAAAGGCGTATCCAGGATTTTTCAAAGGGGGGTTCCTACACACCAAACTTTTACAATGACGTCATAGCTATATGGTACGATTTGCTCTTTTTTATGGCTTAGAAAGGGGGGTCAGGGGCACCCTAGGACCCCCCTAAATATGCCCATGTGTTTTCCCATTTCAGACCACATGTCATTAAATAAATATGGTGCGTGTGGTATCCATATTCATATGTACAACATGTACACTTAAACAAAGAAATGATACTCTAGGGAATGACACCTGGTCTAAAATGGTCATATGGTCATATACGACACATATATTTATTTCTTTAGTATTTACATAGTCTAATCAGCAAAGGGTTTGCCATCAAGCTGATAGTATATACATAAAAGTCGTAGGAAAATCCAAAGCAGAGTTCGTTAAAAGTAATTGGATTTCTCTTTCTTACTTATTATTGCTGCTGAGGTGTTTCCCTTGCGAAAACGAAAAGCTCTTAGCTTTTCCTTCAGTTCTGGGTCGATCTCACAAACGCTGACGCTTCCCGACTATTAAATTCAACCAAAGATAGATTTTAGTACTTAAAGACAATGAAAAATACAAGGAAATAGAGGAATAGACTAATCATTTCGTAAGGTAAGATTTTTACTAGGAATATCCTGTTTTCAACCGGTTGAATGAGTGATAAAGTTCACGAGGAAACCATGTACAGAATTTCATCAATTAGTACGAAGAACTCACCATAATTTACTCGATTGAATCCTTGATTACGAGTTTCAAGTATACAATTATAATCACTATTAAAATCTGATCTGTATTTCTGTGATTCTCTGAAAATTTTCTAAAGATGGTTTATCTGTCTCGCCAGACCCAATAAGTAATTTCTCGTTAGTTATTATTCCCTACTCTTCTCCCCCTCAGTATGCAAACTACTCCCCCTCCCCTCTCCTCTCCTAAGTAGAATCCACAGGACACCCATATCGTAAACATCTTTTAAACGATATTTTGCCGCGAATATATTTTGCACTTCAAAAATTACGAATAACCATTCAAAGCAATTAATATTCCCTAACAGATCCTAACAGATACGGTTCACGAAATTTAGATTGAATAATAATAAAGGATGAAATTTGTGTTGGAGAGTGTGATTTTATAAGTGGGGTTCCTGTGGAGAGCAGAGCCTTGTAATATTTACAATGAAAATGGCGGCTAAACTTGAAGTTCATGAAGTTTGTCCTCATTTGATTCCTCAAGACTCAAACGGAAGACGTTATGATGGATATATAACTGCTAGAGTTAGTACTTTATGCAGGTTTATGTCATAAATTTATAAATAGGTTGAACATTTCAGCTTTTAGGCGAAAAAATGCGCAACTTTTTTTGGACCTTTCTGACAAACTTTTTCCCACTTTTCAGAGAAAGAGTTTTCGTTTTTGCATTACTATTCCTGAAGACAACTCTCTTAAAGATGCAAGGTAAAGCATGAATATAACAAGTATTATTTTTCTTGTTATTCTTTATAATAAATGAGTAAACTAGCTGAACGAATTTTTTTCCTCGACCCATTGCACAAATTTGTGTGCAAAAATAAATTTTGACAGAAAAAATACTTTAACGCTATGTTTTAGGTAGTGAGGAGGAGAGCGAGTGCAAAAAGAGTGAGGACTACTAATAGACCAGTTTCGAATTCCAAGTTACCACTGTGTTCCTTGATTACAGACTCATTTGCACAGGGTTAGCCTCGTATCAGTGTTTAAATATTCACAAATACCAACGGTAAAGTAAAGAATGCACAACTTCAACAATACAAACACTTTGAAGCTCGACAGACCTTGACTGCAACACGTGAATATTCTGCACAAACTTGAGGCTAACCCTGTGCAAATGAGTCTGTAATCAAGAAACACAGCGGTAACTTGGAATTCGAAACGGGTCTATTTTGTACAGAGAAAGAATGTGTGTGGATGCAGTAAATGCTGTGTGCCATTTTTGCTCCACTCCTCCCCCCAAATGATAAACAGTCACACATTAATGCCATTTTGGTTTTTCTTAAAAAGAATTGAGTGTAGCTGGAAGCTCAGGCTTTTACTCAAAGACTATGAAAGTGTCATAAAACAGGTCAGTTTTCGGGTACACATAATGAGAGGGGGTGGGGTGGGGGGGGGATTAAGCATAACATATCTCCTCAATGAGGTGCTATGGATATTTAATAAAATGGGAAGTTCTTATATAGCGCATTTCAGTTGTCTCAATCTACATCTGTGATCAGTAGAACTTAACGGGCTGCATATTAAGGTGCTGCAGCTATTAGCAGCCATGTATTTCTGGATAATAAAATTTTTATTTTTTATTTTAGAGACTTGCTCAAAGTGCAGACTTGGCATCCTTTTTAGTGGAACTAAAAGATATTATGGTTAGTGAATTAATGACCTGAGTATCAGGCCCCAGGGGAGGGGGAAGAGGGAGTAGAGGGAGGGGGACTTTATAATTCAATTGATTATAAATATTAGTTCTATTTGGTTCTTGGTGAGCACTGGTGGGGTATGAATAATATTGATAATGCTTTGGCACTCATGCACAGATGTGATAAGATTCAATATATTCTTATTTATAATAGTGCTTAAATGAATACCTTAGTAAATATAAATACTAAGAGTAAATGGTTTGAACCCAAGTGCTGAAGTTTGTTGTGAAATGTGATCGTCCTGTTGAGTGTAGTCTTGAGAAAGATTGTTGTTGGTGGTGACTTATAATATAAATAAATAAATAAATAATAGTATAAATATAATTTATCAGGAAAGACTTCTACAGTCACAAAATGAAGAACAGGCCATAAGTCAACCAAAGTATTACACCCAGCTGATCGAAGAAATAGAAGCTATCTCTTGGAACAAGTATGTTATAATTACAAGATGAATATACAGCATACTAAAGTTTAAACAGAATTAATGAATAATATATATTTTTGTTATAATATTTTCTTCGTTAGGTTGGTCTTTGTCGACCCTTCATTTAAAGTATTAAAACTGTTGGCAAGGTATGGTTTTTTCATTTTATTCATTTATTATTAACGGTAGTCTGTGTCTAGTTTCTTGGCTGTAGAACCTTCATATTTTATTGATACCTTGAATTAATCAATAATTTTTGTATTCTTTTTTTAATTTTTTAAATCTTTTTTCAGAGACAGCAGACAAAGAGAACATGTCATAACCATTCATCTCTCACAACAGGTACAGTATATCAGTAATTCATAAAATGATCAGTAGAATACAGCATATTATTCAGCTGAGTTGACTGTGTTTACCAAAAAGGAATTATAGATGGTTAGCATTTTCCATACTTTGTCCAGGGTGCTCCTTGATAACAGCTTTGCTGTCGGGCCTACATGTACCCTGGTAAAATATGTATTTTTTAATTATTTTTAAGCAAGGAATGAGTTCAATTAAATTTCTATTGTCAAGTGAAATGGGATTCCGCCCTGAGTTTGATATATAGTATCTTGATTTATGAATGGTATTCCATGCCACAACTCCCATCTTCATCCCACAAACTAATGGTATATTAACTCCTCTGCACACATACATACGTACACTTACTCTAAATACCTGTTATTTTAGTCTTATATTAAGCTATTTATTTCATCATATGATTGTAGCACCCTCTAACTCCACCTTCTGTTACAACTGATCTTCCTGGGAAATTCCCTTTCAACTGGTCTACAACACAGGTACTACACTAGTTAGTATAAGGGGCTGTTTACATGCTACTGGAATGAGTTTCATTCCGGAACGAGTTCATCCCGGTTGCCATATATTTCTTTGTATTTGTTTACATGATACCAGAGCAATATTTCATTCCAGAACAAGTCATTCCGGAATGAGTCATCCCGGTTTTACTCTGGAACTAAAAGCTCATTCCGTAACGATATTCCGAACGAACCACTCATTCTGGAATGAAACTGCTCTCCGGGAGATGAATGAAACGAATAACACATGCGTATCAGACATTTCAATGCGCCCGTAGCTTGATCAGAACTCGTTATGTGGATTTTTCTCATGTAAAGACGGTATGAAATTTCATTCTCGTTCCGGAACGAACTCATTCCGGTATCATGTAAACGGGCCCTAACTGAATACCAGTCTTTTCATTACATGTCAGTTTTGTTACACAGTATTTAGAACACTTCATTACAAGGTCACATGTATGGTCAGTTCTTTACATGTGTAATGTATGGTCATTTTGGTATGTGTCATTTCCCATGATTTTCAAGTTGGAAGTTGGAAGATAACAGTGTTAATTGGGCTACCAAAAGGAATGATGAATACAATATGATGAGTTCTTTACATGTGAAATGTATGGTCATTTCGGTATGTGTCATTTCCCATGATTTTCAAGTTGGAACTTGGAACTTGGAAGTTGGAAGATAACAGCGTTAATTGGGCTACCAAAAGGAATGATGAATACAATATGATGAGGAAAAATGGAGGTTGAATGATGGAAGAAAATATTTCATTATTTTTGTTCTCTCTTCCAGCCCTCACCTTTGAAAGGATTGTATCATCAGTTTGAGGAGGTGAATTAGTTATCATAAGGGACAGACCATTAGATAATTGAGGAGGGGGAGGGGTATGTAAATTTTTTTTTAAATATCGAGCAAGCACCTATGAAAAAATGTTATACATATTTCTTTGTGAAAAGAAATATCAAGCAACAAAAAATTGGATGCAGGGGTTGTTACAAAAAAATAAATATTGTGCAACATAAATTCCTGTAACACCCCTCCCCCCTCCAATTTCAATTATCTAATAGTCCATCCCTAATTGTCATAATTGCCATAGATGAATTTGTCATTAGATGAATATATCAAACCTCGACTTGGAGACATTTTTGGTCACTCAAGCAAATTTGAGTCTACCAGTATTATACTGTAGTGAGCCCAAAAGAGGCATGGATTTGTGTATGAGTATGCTGAAGTCTGGCTGTTCTTTTACCTAATGTTGTAATGTTATGACTTTTGGTTTGATAACAGGCATTAAAGACTTATGAAGAATTCTGGGACATAATGGATGAAATAGATAAAAACACTTGGGTCTTGGAACCAGACCAACCCTCTAGATCATGTACCACAAGAAGGATAGCATTAGGTATACAATCCCTCATGCTAAGTCAGGGCCGTAGCCACAAATTTCTGATTGGTCAGGTTTGCCATAAATTTCTGATCTGTTCAGTTTTTGAGGGTTTTCAGTTTTTCTTACATTTTTTTTTTGTTTGTTTTTCTTATATTTTTTCCCCGAAAGCTGGTCCAGTTTCAACCAGACCAACACTACTGGTGGATACAGCCCTGCATGTTGAGGATGTCTTTTGAAGCTTTTATTAGGCACTGCTCCCATCTTGGTCCAAAGCAATATTTTTTTTTTTACAGGCAATAACTCATCTATACATCTAGAGGTGAATCCAGTACATCCTCGACTTCTTCCTGAGTGCAGGTTTCTCGGCGCTGATCATGGTAAGATATGGTATACTGAGCTTCATTAGAAACATTTTTTCAACTGGGTACCCTGTGGTAAATGGAGATAGAGGAGTACAAGGTTGTTTTACGAATCATATTTTTGTTTGTAGTTATTATTCCAATGAGAGAGAACTTAAATGTCAACCTTAATTTATGGTAAGTACTGCAATCGATTGCTAAATAAATATAATATAATCACTAATCCCATCCCATCCCATCCATCCATCCCTCTTCCATCCATCTATTACATCATTCATTCAGTCTGAGCCAGCCAGCCATCCTTCCAACTGACCTTCCATTCATTGATCCATCACATACAGTCAATCCATCCTATTCCATTCATCCAACTGTTCATCCATCCATCCATCTATCCCATCCATCCATCCTTGTCCATCCATCCACCCACCCA